GTGGCTCCGGCTTATTGTCCTCGCGAGTCAGGTCAAGCGGGAGTACGCGGAACTCGGGAATAATCCGCCCTATTACGAGATCGTATCGTTCTCGATATAACAGCAGGAGCAACAGCAATAGCACTCACGTGAAACGCGCAGCGCACAGCGAATCGGCACGGTTCTGTCGCGACCGTCCTCCAATGGATCGACGGCGACAGCGGCGATGATGATGTGATGATGATGATGATGATGAGGATGATGATGATGATGATGACGGTCGTGGGTATGCGACGACACTAAGAAATAATCGTGGACAAGCGCACGGACGAGACAGCGGAATTCGAATCGCCCTCGCGGATTGTCTTGTCCCGGAAGCCCAGCGCTCCTCAGGCCCTCGTCCTCGGATCGCGACCATTCATCTCACTTTCATGTTCCGAAATCACGATCGCGGCGTCCTTCTCCCCTGAGCGAGCGCCGAAACGTGCGCATCTCTGCGTCGCCGGATGTTGACTCTGTCGCCGCGGCGGCGGACGCTAGCAAACCTGACGACGCGTTTTCACGGGCGCTGTGATCGGCACCGTGGAACCCGGCGCGCCCGGCACTACCGGCACCCACAGGCGGTGTTTTTCCCTGCGGTTGGGGGGACCTCGACCGTCGCGATGATCGCGATCACCGACCGACTGGAAGATTCCTTAGCGCACCGTGAGAGCGCGCAGTCGTCGACTACTTCTCTCTCTCTCTCTCTCTCTCTCTCTCTCTCTCTCGCGCTCTCTCTCTCTCTCTCACTCAATCACCTTATCACAACGCATTATTTATTATCTATTTTTGTAATTATATATTTTGTAATTATATGTTTTCAATTCTTAAAGAGAGAATATTACGGGTAATCGCTTAATGAAATAATGGCTCTCTTGTCTCTCTTTCTTCCTCCTTTCTCTTTTCACCCGTTATTTTGTATAAACTTTAAATCTGCTCAGATATTTATTTTTGCACTAGAATTTTTTTTGATCGCTTTCGCCAAATATTAAACATACATCTTTTATTTGAAGTTCCAAAACTATATAGAAAATAGACTATATAAAAAAAACTATAGAAAACAGATTTTTTGTATTGTTTTGTATCATGCAATGCATACACATTCAGCTCTACATATTGAAGAATAAGATAAGACTTTTGAAAAGAAATTTATGAATCAACTATTGTTACATGTCAATATATAGAGTTACCTAAAGATTAAAGTTACCAACAGATTCATTAATGAAATTCATTCATGAATTTCTTGGTTACCTTTAATCCTCAGGTAACCCTATATTGTGGAAATGGGCCATATGGGTAACAATAGCAGATTCATAAATTTTTCAAAGAAATGCCTTATCATTCTTCAATCATGTCATTCTTCAATATGTGGAGCTGAATGTGTACGCATTACATGATACAAAAGATCTGTTTTCTATAGATTCTTTTTTCTATAGTCTGTTGTTTATGGTCTATTTTCTATAGTTTTGGAACTTCAAATAAAAGATGTATGTGTTCGGTGAATATTTGGCGAAAGCGATCAAAAAAATTCTAGTGCAAAAATAAAAAAAAATAAAAAAACTTCAATCGATTTAATCAGCGATTAATCCAACTATAGAGTTGCTTGAATCACTGAAAAATTTATTCTAATTAGTCGTCGTCCTTAATTTAATCTTGCTTTCCATGTATTATACAACAAAAAATTATTCTGCTTTAACAAAGTATAATAATATAATGTGAATATTTTTTGATAAATTAATTGTCAATTAAGTTAAATCCCATTGTTTGAAATCGCTGTATCTAATTGATGTCATTCAACACGTTAATTACAAACTACTCTTTAGGAACTTATTTTTAAATTCTGTTACACATATATAATTTTTCTAGAGGGTGATTCATTTTTAATCTTAACAAGCAAACATTTTCGAAATATTTATCTATCAAGATTAAATTGAATCATCCCGTATAACAAAAAAAATCAAGAAGCATCTTTAATAACTTAAATTCAATTTTTTCGAATTTTAAATAAATATATTCGGATTAATAATCTGAATATATTTATTTATCCTTTTCTTTTTATAAAAATATCTGCATAAAAAAATATTATTAAAAATCCTAAATAAATTAATGTACATAAATTTTCTATTCTGCAAATAAATAAATTTTTTTACAGTTCATGAAAATCGTGAGTCTTTTATTTCGAATAACATCTTAAAATAATTTGAATCTTAATATATGTATTATGAATTGGATGAAGCATTTCTTTTTTACTATCTCCAAACGGATATTGATCTTTATTTCCAAGGTAAATAAGTATCTCTGCTTGTATCTAAAAGCTATCTGTATGCAATCGAAACCAAAAGAAGATATGCGTTCATCGATTCCGATGAACAAACTGACGCAAGTCTAATTCTAACGGCTCATGTTTGTCCGTCGTAACTATGACTACAACTTGCTAAGTTAAGAGAGAAATATCGTGTTGGAGACATACGACGTTCCTATAGGAAATACTCGATCGGCATAAGTGTGCAAATTCACGACGACGTTAGAGACAAACCTGGCGAAATGAATGATAAGGACGACAGTGCTTGGGTGTTCGACTCCTTGATCGGATTTTTGCAAGGTCCTATTTGGTCCTCGCCCCTTTTGAGCTTCATCGAGGAAAAGTCCCTCGGTTCGTACAGTCATTGGAAATACTTTTCTTTTGACAAATCTCATCAGTTCTTCGAGTAAAAGGATCATATACCCAGATAGCAAAGCCTGTCTCGGCAAAGTCGCACAAATCTGTGATTGCTAATTATGATGCTGGTAACTTGCCATAAATTTGTCTTCAATGATTTCGAATATTATCGATATACCGACATTATAGCAACATGCAGACAATGTGTATATATATTACCAGTAGTTTAACAGCAAGATAACTGTATCAATATTATCTTGCGTTGTCGGCAATATGACGACATTATATGATGCTGCGCATATTATTATGGCAATATGATGGCAATAGTACGAATTTTAACGATTTTAAAATTGTCGGCAAATTGCTGACAATTTGCTATTCAATGTTATCATATCGTGAAGACATTGTTGTCCAATAAATAAAGATTTAGTTTGCTGCAATTCTGATAACAATACATAGCAAGCGACAAGATAGACACGTTGTTATCTGGATATTATATGAAAAATTGAATCCTGGAAATGAGTTAGTTTTTACAAATAATGTAACTTATAATGTAGACAAAAAGATCATAAACATGAGGCTCAATGGGTGCTTTCCATTTGATGATACAAATCAATATAAATGTCGTTCTATCTTTGTTACTCTTTGAATGGTAAGAAAAACAGAATGATAGCTTATGTCTTGTATCACTAAAATGGAAAGTCCTCATTAAAAATAAATTTTGAGCTATAATACTTTGAGTTTTACATCTCTGATACATCAGTTCAAAAATATCTTTTGTTCATCACATTATAAGTTATATATTATATAAAAAACTGACTCATTTCACCAAATTTTCTATATAATTAGTACGAGAGCCTTTTTTAATGTAGAAAGAATAAAGAGAAATCTTATAGTGTGGCTTGTAACGGAAGTACCATACACACATTCGTGTAAATTAATATCTTTCAGAATGTGTTCGTATAATTTCTTCGTAATGGAAGTAGAAGTCGTAGAATTGGAAAACTTTTCACCGAATGTTGTATAATATAAGGCGCATTTATTTGTAGTAAAATAAATAAATATTTTATAAAGTCTTTCCAATAATTGTAGTTTTCGAGGCTAACACCGAAGATTGCGAAGAGTATCGGAAAATATATCAGGAGTACAAAAACTTGGTCGACTTGCTGCTTGGATGCTTTATGGAAGATATGGGTATCACACCGGAACAATTCGAACACGCATGCACCGTTAACAGAGATACAAAGATCCCAATACATTTTCAACAAGTATGACCATTACACATACATCCATAATGTCTGTATAAAGAATTACGTTTTACTCGTGCTTTGTTTCAAAAGATTAAAATCGAGATTGTTTTCGCGACATTAAAAAAAAAAGAAGATTGACATTGTATATAATATTTAAAGATTTTTGGTGCGTTTGGGGAGACGCTATTAGCGCTTTTATCATTCTATCTTGATTGTTTATTAGACGTAAAACAAAGATACAATGATACAAATAGCGCTAATAGCGGCTCTCCAAATGCATCTTATAATACAAAAAAATAAATTTTAGTTCATGAAAATTACACGATATAATTTATCTGTATTTTGTATCCATCGTTCTTTTCCTAAAAATTATATCACCGCATATTTTACAGAATCTATTCGAACAGATATGGGCGGCAAATGAGTATGAAATATTCAAAAGAATGATGACACAAAAGAACTTGGAGCTCCAGCTGCAAGCGCTAAATATGATCGAACAAAAATACGGTCTCACACCTGCCTCTCTCGTATACGAAACTGATGGCTTTCTTGATGACGAACTGGTCATGGAGGATTTGATACAGTACGTTATATCGTAAATATATCAATAAACTAGTCAATATGTCTACTGGAGGCGTACAAGAATTAGAGATGTTTGTAAAAATTGGAACAGTTTTTGTGTCGGAGGAATCATGTATCTTTCATATATGTGCACAGCAAACGTGTTCTGGAAGATCAAAGCGAAGAAGAACCAGGTATATCCTCAGGAACAACATTGATCGCTGAACACGAGCGATTAGCTGCCGAATATCACAATGAAAGAGCGTTATTGGAAGAAGCATTAAGAAAATCGAAAGATGATTCCAGGAATACTTCGGATGACGAGTCAACGGAAGAAGTTGAGTGTGCTACCATATCGGTTGAGAAAAAGTCATTAGATAAACTTCAACTTAAGAAGAACGAGCCTCTCAAACCAATACCGACTTCAAAAAAGAAAGCTGATGAAGACGAGGTATTTACTTTTGATTTACTTGTATTTATGTGATATCAATACACGTACAAATAATTTTCGTACAAATAAATAGATAAATGAAACGTATAAATAAATAGACAAATGAACATGACTAGAAGATTTTAATCTACAATATAATATGTATGAAAATAAAAATATATTGTATTGCTTCCATTTTGCAGATGAATACAGAAGATATTAAAAAGAGGCAAGAATATCTGAAAGCCAGGCGAGATAAACTTGTGGCTTTAAAAAAGGAAGCTAGGAGCCATCAGCTAGAAATGAACAAAACTCGTCCGAGCTCCGCTAGAACAGTTGCTGAAGCAACTCTGAAAGGAGAACAAGAATTGGAAGTAGCGCAAGTTATAGATCCTTCAATACTTCAAGTACGAAGGGCTCTAGCAGCTCGATTGAAAGCTGAAGTTGTGCATAAATAATTTTAATTTTGCATTATATATATATATATACATATATATATAAAATATATATTATACAATATATTAGTTTTTCATAATTAACTGTAGAAGTCTTAAGCTTGCAATTCCAATAAAGTGCTTCACACAAAAGAAATAACACAAATTAAATAATTATGATATCTAGAAAAGTAGTATATGTAAAGTTGTATTTAGTCTGCGAGAAATGTATGAAAACCTACAAGTTGTTTTTATATTTTTATGTCCTGTCATTTTAAGAAAACTTTTATTCCTAATATTTTCATACAGAATAAACAAAACAAAACTTATTTAATATCTGCAAATACATCCATGTATTTTATCTTATTAAAGTCTGATTTTTTAAACAAAACTACGTTTAATAAAAAAAATACTGCATTTTAAATATTTTTCCTCACAATCAGTATTATATATAATAATATATTTGTATAAGTATAAAATATTCAATAAGAACTTTTTAAAGTGCACGTTTATAAATATAAATATACAAAAAAGTATTATGAAATAATATTTAAAGAACTCCAATTATTTCACAAAATTAGATTAAGTCATGTTAATTATCAAACATAAATTGTGTTTCTGTATTCAACAGGAATTTAAAGTAAATATTAAGGTAGATTATTTTTGCTACCAAGTATTCATCTAATTTTAAATTTTATTTAATTAAATACTTTTCGCACCTCTACAACACACTGTATTTGTATAACACACATTTATCATTCTCACTTTTTTGTAACTACTTTCTAATAAATGAAACGGATTCATAGCATAATACCAGCAATAAGTACACTAAACATATAAATATCTAACTTTTCTTATTATTTAATGAAATATTAACGTATATTTTTCTCTGTAGAATAATAGAAATCAATATCTATCTGCAGCAAGCAAAAATAAATTCTTTTTATCATGAAATATATACATATATATAAATGTATCATCAATATTTATATTAATACCTATCATTAATATTTATATTAATACCTATTTTTATAACTATAATTAATATTTAAGTTAAATTTAATTAATTCTTCCTATTGCTGCAGATATCGCTCTATTTAATACTACAATAGTATTCAACTAATAATTTTGAATATTAGAAGTGAACTGTTCGCTATAACCAAGTTAGAATTTGATTATACAATATTAGGCAAAAAATTCATAAAAGTTAAGCAACTATCTGTATAATAG